TCTGTTTCTTCCTTTACTTCCTGTCTCTACCTGTACTTCCTGTCTCTGCCTGTACTTCCTGTCTCTGTCAGTATTTCCTGTCTCTGCCTGTACTTCCTGTACTTCCTGTCTCTGTCAGTACTTCCTGTCTCTTCTTTTACTTCCTGTACTTCCTGTCTCTTCCTTTACTTCCTGTCTCTTTACTTCTTGTCTCTGCACTTCCTGTTTCTTCCTTTGCTTCCTGTCTCTGTACTTCCTGTCTCTGTCTGAGTTGGGGCTCCACTCACCGTCCTGCAGCGGGGCCTGGCCTCCGAACCCGCTCAGCTTCTCCCGGCTCAGAAAGCCTCCGAACACGTCCCTGAAGGGGTCTCCCCCCACCTGGGTGCTCTCCTCCACCCGGACCTCCCTCTTGGTCTCGCCGGCGCGGGTTTTGCTGATCTCTGTGCGCTCGGTGCGGGTGTAGGTGTGGCTGCTGCGCGTGAAGGTCCGGGTCAGGCGCTCCTGAGCCGACACCATCTGGAACCAGTTCCCTGGGTTCCAGGGGGAGGACAGAGTGGATTTAGCTAGTTTTGAACCATCACAAAAATCCAGTTTCGTGCAGAACTTGTGGAGAAACGGTCATTTTCTTTAGATTAATATCTGAAATTGTTATAACTTTTGCATTCAAGCCATTAAATACTGAGGTCTTGTCTCACAAGATCATCATGGAAATCATGGAATAAAATAAATAACACTTACAAAGTGATTTTATCTAGTTTTCAACCGTCCTTTTGAAGTAGCCAAAATTCCAGTTTTGTGCAGAACTTGTTGAGACAAACATTTTCTTTAAATTAAAGTAAAAAACTATTATAACTTTTAATGCAAGACAGTAAAACTGAGGTTTTGTCAAACAAGGCAGGATATAGAATAAGAAAACTTACAAAGTGATTCCATCTAGTTTTTAACCATCATTTTGAAGTAACCAAAATTCCAGTTTTGTGCAGAACTTGTTGAGAGACGGTCATTTTCTCTAGACCAATGTCGGAAACTGTGATAACTTTTGCATTCAAGCCATTAAAAACTGAGGTTTTGTCTGGCAAGACAGGAGATAGAATAAAGAACACTTTAAAAGCTAATTTACCTAGTTTGGATTCATTATTTGGAAGTTAGAGAAATTCCAGGTTTGTGCAGAACTTGGTGAAAGACGCTAATGTTTTTAGATTAATTTTGGAAACTGTGGCAACTTTTTAATGCAAGTCAGTAAAACTGAGATCTTGTCTGTGAAATCGTTGAATAAAGTAAAGAACACTTACAAAGTTATTTTAGCTAGTTTTGTACCATCACTTTGAAGTGACTGAAAAATCCAGTTTTGTCCAGAACTTGTTGAGAGACGGTCATTTCTGGATTCATGTCGGAAACTGTGATAACTTTTAAGGTCAGTAAAACTGAGATCTTGTCTGGCAAGACAGGATAAAGAATAAAAAACACTTTAAAAGCTATTTTACCAAGTTTGGATTCATTATTTTGAAGTAACACAAAAATCCAGTTTTGTGCAGAACTTGTGGAGAGAGGGTCATTTTCTTTAGATTAATATCGGAAACTGTGATGACTTTTGCATTCAAGCCAGTAAATACTGAGGTTTTGTCTGGCAAGACAGGAGATAGAATAAAAGACACTTAGAAAGTGATTTTATCTAGTTTTTAACCATCATTTTGAAGTAACACAAAAATCCAGTTTTGTGCAGAACTTGTTGAGAGACGCTCATTCATGCATTCCTTGGACTCACTGCCTCGCTGTTACCTTTCCCCTTCCTTCCA